AGTCCCCAGTTTAAGAACAAGTTCCATTCCCAAGGTCTGTCCTTAAGTCAAATTTGTATGTCAGCCTGTATATGTATAAGTAGTATTGTGTAGTGAACTTGAACCATGGTGTATTTAACTCGAATCATTGTGCATTTAACTTGAATCATTGTATATTTAACTCAAATTTTGCTACAATAGGCTCTGTTCTTAACTATGGGTCATCTGTAATGTAAAGTACATATAAGAATCATGATGTGGATATTTAAGGAATAACAATGATAACCAAAACCATATTGTGTTTAATGCTGCAATTAACTATCCATTTAGGGCAAATGTAATGAGTAAATATGAAAAATCAAGTAGAGAGGGGAGAGGCAGAATCTCATCTCCCCTGTAATACGTTTATTTATTTTTTTATTTCCAATCCAAAATAAACCCGAAACCTAGTCATGCTTCAAAATTCATAACTACACTGTGTAACACAGTTACCCCAGTACGAAGTTATATTATGAAAAATCTATCCAATGCATATAGATAAAAATAATATACAAAAATTACAGATAGTTCTTTGCAAAAACTGTGTATTAGGCATAAAATATTTTTTTAGGAGAAAAGTACATGGAACCACATGTAAATTTAAGTGCGCACTTATTTTCAAAAAAGCTGAAGTGAATATGGTAACAGAACAAACCAAATTTAAGAAACCACGAGAAAATAAAATTGACAGATCTGTGAAATACCAGTGAGAAATAATGAGCAATTAAATATACCTAATGAGATGGGAAAGGAAAAAAAAAATCCAAAGCCTATTTTACTTTACCTAGTTTTCAGAGAAAAAAAAATTGTCTAAATTGAAACAGAGTGAACTGAAGTTCAAACTGAGGTGATTGACTTGTGATACATGAGTCACTAAAGTTGATAGTGGCAAGAGATTAATTTCCTCTGTATTCAGATATATCTGTCAGTTGACAGAATGATCTTCCATAGAACTAAAAAGGATATATGGGCAAGTCTTTCCCACATGTAGCATCCTTATTTCACGTGAGTCTGTTTCGGAGATTTGAGGAATCATTTGGAACTGCAAGAAGGGTAGGGCAGAGAATTGTGGGGAAAGAAGGAAAGCTTTAAATAATTTCCCACTCCATCCCACAAACATGACTTTTTAGTGAATCACAGACCAACCTCAGTAGAAGAACACCAATGCATCCATTTTATATTAAAGTCACATATTCACTATGTTTTCCATCTCATACTCACATCGCTCTGCAGATCATAAGCTTTCCTAGCCTGGATGACATCATTCTGATCCGGCAGACATGTCCACTCATGTAAGTAATTGCGATAATCAATATCGCTGACCAA